TAGCGTGGCGCAGGGTCGGAGGTAAGTAGTTCGGCTGCTCATCCACTATTGGTCCAGACTCTATCAATCTTCTCGCGAAACGACGTTATAGGAGGTACGTTATACGAAAGTTTCTACAATTTTTTCGCTACGTTATAGGAATGTACGTTATAGGGGGGTCGACTATATTCGGTAATGTTGTACACAGTGAGTTCTACTTCTTATTTGTTTACAGAATTGCTGTGTCAAAATTTTTGATTCCTGAGGATGGCCTGTTGATTAGATTTGAAAATATTAGAATTTTGAATAAAGAATCACTGTTTTCCTGTTAAGTACAATAGTGCATTTTAAATTTTGTTAAAATATTCATAACATGTGGTTAAATATTGAAAATTGCAGATATTCACATACTTTTTCCATACATTCTTTGCAAAAAATATTCCTTCCATCAGTCATGAAACATTTGCTGTGCAGCTCTTCAAATAAATTTTTTATCCACTTCTTTAAAAAATTCTTTCAATGAATCCTTTTTCCCTTTCCATAGTCTCAATACTTGGAACTAGTAATCAAGTGGGATTACTAGTTTTTTGTGTTTAACAATTATTTGCATAGCTTCTATGTAAATTTTGAGTACATGAGATTGTGATAATAATTAGGGTTGCCTTTTAAATTTTTCCAGTTAATGTGATATTGAACCTATTGGCAGATATGATTGTTATTTCTATATTCCAGTATAATTTATATTTTCCATTTTCAATGACATCAGAAATGCCATGCTGAAATAGTAGGAGAATATTTGTAGTTTTTTTCATTGAGAAGATTAGTCTGTAGAGTAATACTTTGATTTATTATTATTATTTCATAAATAAAATAAAAGAAACAATACAGTAAAAAAATATCTGTTAAGTAGTCATTTGCATCTTTGGCATTTGAAGTTTAGGCAATTTCCTCTGGTTTTTCAAAAATATAAAAACATTGTGAAGTTACAGATTGATTCTTCTTAAATTGTGCATATCATAATTACCATTTTTACAAAGGATACTTTGGAGAGAGAATGAATACAGTGGAGCACATTACACAAAGATTTTACTTTTGTTCTAGCAATTTTTTGTGGGTTATATGCTACTATGATTATAGTCTTGTGTGGTTTGTTAACATAAGACACAGAATTGAAGACGGTAAAATTTAAGGAAGAAAGCTATAGTAATCTGAATAATAACATTTCAAAATAATTCTTGATTATTTTCTTTTTTGTAATAAACAAAGGGTGGTGTTTTTCATTAAATAAATTTAAAATTATAATTATCTATTTTTTCTTTTTGATTCTTAAACACTATGTAGTGTAATAAATTCAAACACTTGGCATTCTATCATCTTTATTTAATTCAGTTAAGAATCAATGAAGAGTCATACCATGTTTCCCCAAAAATAAGACAGTGTCTTATATTAATTTTTGCTCTGAAAGATGCGCTAGGTCTTATTTTCAGGGAATGTCTTATTTTTTCCATGAAGAAGAATTCACATTTATTATTGAACAAAAATATTCCCAAGTTGAACTTAGACGAGAGTGACGTATATCCGGTGTGTCAAACTGTCGCCTTTTTATAGCGTCAACATCGGACTCGATGACCAATTAGTATTTATTGAACCGTAGCACTATGCAAATGTCATGTGGCATGATTCCCAGCTGACCAATTAGCCATCACCAGCCGTTACGTTATGCAAATCTGTGATTCCCAAGCCATAGTTTTATGCAAATCATGCCATGTGGCGTGATCGTCTGCTGACCAATCAGTGGCTGTACTTTCAAAAAGCCAATGGCCACTTTCAACCATCTGTCAATGACTGTTATGAGTAAAAAAAATCTTTGCTAGGTCTTACTTTCGGGGGGAGGCCTTATATTTAGCAATTCAGCAAAACCTACGGTAGGTCTTATTTTCGGGGAAACACGGTAACACGGTTTCAGATTATCAAAAATAATTATCTATATTAAACCAATGCAGACTGTTAACTGGAAAATAATGAAGTATTTTTTTAATTAATGTATGTGTTAGGCTCAAAGATCGAAATTGCTCATTGAGCGAAAAAAATGACCACAGTGCGTTGTGGCTAACTCAAAACGACCACAAAGCTAAATTCACATTGTGACTTTTGTAATATTTGACCGCTATGCGTTGTGGCGATTAAGAAAAGCCGTAATGCATTCTGAACGTTAGCTGATGCAATCATGATACAAAGGATAGGTTGTAACTTGTCAATGGATACATTGAAAACACTTGCAGAGTTTGTATTGTGTTCATTCTTGACCAGTGCTGCCGTTTCTAGGGTAATTACCCTTTTCTAGAGTAATTCCAACATCTCAGAGTAATGTTTTGGGTAGTCTTATATTTAGGGTAAATCTAGGGTAAAACTACCCTGTGTTCTGATGCTATTACTCATCGCTCCACAAGTTTTGCTGGAAAAAGTTTTAGCCTAAAACCATTCTGTTTTTCCCTGTAATTGGAGGATTTTAGTATAGGAAAACAGAAGCTAAAGAAATAGTGCAAATTGATGCTAGGTACTGTACATGGGTGTACACTGTACAGTGATACTTCGGTTTTCGTCGAGAATCCGTCTGAAAACAATTGGGCGAAATCCAAAACTGACGATAACCGAAGTCAACGAAAACTGAGGTATCACTGTATATTACACCCAAGTAGGATTTCGCTTTTCTCAACCTTCATGCCATTGAGCCATTGGCACTCTCCATATCAGATGTAAATTAATACCTCCGATAAAGCCTAAAAATCCTAAGACATTTTAGTTATTAAAATTTTCAAAAACAATGAATTAAGAATTGTTCTGATTATTATTTCACAATAATAGTATAGGGATCTGCATCATAGAATTGTTTATTTTTTTTTATTTGAGTTTGAGCTCGCGCTCTGAGAGTTTTCTCAATTTAGGGTAATTTTCTGCAGTTGAAATTGGTTTGATTGTTTTAGTTAGGGTGCCTAATGTTGATAGGGGACATGCAGCTCCCAGAAACGTTTTAGCTGTTGCAAAAATGCAAATGTCACTCAAAGAATATAAAATGCATGAAAAATTAAATGATGTAAAGTAACTAAGTTAAATTTCTGTACTGTAAGGTCTCGTTTTATGCAGTGGATACGTTCTACAGAAAAGCGCATATAAAAAATTCGCATAAAAAAAGACTTTACTTGCCTTGAAAAAGTAGAGATACGTTCCATAATTTTCTAAAATCGCATAAAACCAAAACAATGAGTTAAAATTAACTTAAAACCGCATAAAAAAGTTTGCAGAAATTAAAAAAAATAGGCTGCTTATTACTGCAACTTGAAATCAGTAAAATTTAAACTCGCTACTTATTGTAAAAATGAACAAAACACCACTAAAATAATATTTAATTTCGAAACAATTACAGTTTATACCTTTTAATGCGAAACTCAGAATGATGTAATAGCGACTTGTCGATGGTAAGTATCATGTACAAGGGGAATCTCCGAATTGCAAAAGCTCACTCTAAAAACAAATCACTGACATCTGGATGTGAAGAGTTAATTTAATTTAAACCCCTTTAGTTCCTCGCCGAGATATCTTGGGCAGGTTACATAAAACACGGTCCTTAAGGCCATTTTTAAAAATTTTTTTTGAATTTTTGGAATGTTTTTTAAGTTTCCAAATTTTTAAAAAATATTTAAAAATATACGGCCAGCTAGTATTCACCCTACTTTAAACCCTTGTCCTCCCCCGACATCTGAGAATGTCCTGGGAAAGCCAAAACCAGATGTTCTCAAGGTCACCCAGCTGTGTAAACAATGACTCATCGGTGTTAAATTTCACAGAAGGGCGAGACAAAGGAAGTTACTTTGAAGCTTTTTCTTCAAAATTAACGCATTTCTTTCATTTTTTCAGTTTTAAGTATTTTTTATGTTTAATTACATTTATATCAAAAATTGCTAGGAACTAAAACGATTAAGGTAGATCTAGCTGTCCTTTACATCCATAAACGTTATATGTCAGTGGAACAAATGGAGTGAGCTTTGAGCGTTCCACGATTTTTGAAGACTGTCTATACGTGGGCTTCCTAAACAAGCCTATATGTATGTTTGTCCAAAAAATTTTTGGATGAAATACAAACCACACAACTTCAAAATTGCATAAAAATAATCCGCATAAAAAGAGACCTTACAGTATATGGTGAATGATTTTGTTACCTGCTTATATAAGATGATTGAAGATAAATAAATCATAATGAAAAAGAGTTTTATTTTCTTATCACCACCTCATTATTAGTTAACATCCAGAATGTGTGGTGGCTTCTAACCATAATAAATCCTTTGCACGATGGTTTTTAACTTTAGCAGCTGATTTTTATTTTATCATGTATGGTAGTATATCAAACACCTACAAGTATACGTAGTTAGACCTTTAGCACTTTTTAGCAAAACAAAAGAAACAAATGTGTATTTTTCTCCATATATTTTATTTCTTTGAAATTTTTTTAAGTATGAAAATTAAATTTCTAGGAAAACTTGTAGAACTAATGTTGTTTGGCATTAAAAATTGTAAATAAAAATGTTTTGAGCCTAGAATACATATTTTAAAGTTACAAACCACTGTGCTTCATATGATCCTGTATTCTGGTTGCATCAGCTAATGTTCAGAAAGCATTATAGCTGTTCTTAATGCATAGTGGTCAAATATCGTGAAAGCCACAATGCGAATTTCACTTTGTGGCCATTTTTTTCGCTCAATGAGCAATTTCAGTCTTTGAGCCTAACATATGTAATAATGAAGAGGTTGTATTATTACTTCATATGTTACTTTTTCAAAAAATCCTCATGTTAATGACAGTTTTTCAGTATTCCTTACAGAATAAATTGAATATTTAAGAAAATAAGATTTATTCTGATTGCTGTGTATAATTAACAATAAAACTTTTTTGTTTACATGTGGTTTGTAATAATGTATCAAGTATCTTTTAATTGTCATATTTTGAAAACATTAAATTTTTTCAGAACATTTAGAAACAACTATGCATGGTTGTCCATCGTGGTCTCGGTGCCATTTCTAGGATACTTTTTCTACCATATCTACTATTTAACTTTCATACACTTTGATTATGGTTATAATATGAAAGCCAACATATTTATTGGTAAGTAATTTTGTAAATAAGAAATATTTTTAAAAAATAATGTGTACACACAAACAAACAAACAAACAAAAACATACACGGCCAACTCCACACAAACACTTATTATCAGTGGAATGTGCATTTCTATAACAACCATGTTTCAAATTTTTTTAATGAAAATCTATTAATTACATCATTTTTAGTTTTTGTCATCATTCAGTAAAATCAATCTTTAAAATTCTATATACAGAATGTCTCAGCAAAAATATTCAAATACAATAGTTATTGGACAAAAGTTCAATAACTATGTGATGTTTTTTAATGTAGTTTTGGTGAGTGCTACTGTGATTAGACCAGATAGACTGTGATCCCCTCCACAGGTAAGTTTTTCTTATTCTAACCATGAAGTTTCAACAATTTTCCACATCTTGCATTTTAGTCTGTATAATAGTTTAGACCCATACTTCAGGAAAAACCGTATTTACTCACATATAAGACGAGGTTTTTATTCATTTATCACAGCTTCAAATTTCTACGTCATCCTAAATGTGCGAGCGAAAAATTCTTTGTGTTTTTGCAAATAATTTTTGTGAACCATGTATTTGCATTTTTTACCAGATGCTCAAACTATGGTGTTTAAAAACAAGCATTTTATCTGGGTTGTGTGAATCATTCTTGTGTATTGTCAGGAGTAAAGATGAATAGCAATAGGAAAAGCTTTTGAATTGAATTCCAGATTGAAATTCCAGAATCACACGGGAGCCCAATATAAGTTTTAATCCATTCCCACGTGAAAACAGATGATTATTTGGAAATCAGAATTCAGAGAAACTCATAAGTGTAATCAACGAGAGTTGATTTGACTGTTAAGAATTGGCAAAAAATGGTTCCCGATTAGCCAGCTCTACATGAAGAAATTATGTTGTCGATTTTACAAGATTTTTCCTTAGTTTAAAATGCCAGTAATTTCTGCGGGACATGTGTGCATTTATGTTCATTTGATATTTTACTTGTGATTAAACAAAATAAAATTAGAATTGTATTCATAAATCTAATTTTCTTTATTTTGATCTTTAAAGTCACACCTTGTCCTATATTCAATGTTGTCTTATATGCAAGTAAATACAGTAATTGGTTTGTAATTTGGTAAATACAGTAATTTGGTTTGTTCAGCAAGTAAATACAGATTGGTTTAAATCTAGGGCGGAAGGAGGCTATGCATGCTGGAAGTCCATAATACTGATATTAGTTGCTGTGTGAAGCATTTCACCATCTTGTATAAACTATTCTGCAAATGTATTCCCAATGCAATTAAAAAAAATTTGATTATTAACATGTCTCATTGAATAGAAAAGGTCAGATTAATCTATGAGGTGATATTGTGCATGAAAGAGAATCAGGCTCTTTGGATGTAAAGAGAAAACAACAAATGATAGGTTTTCACTTCCTGAAAACTACAGTTTTTCTTGTTTATGTAGCTGACAAGTTAATGTGAGGTTTGTTACCACAAATGAGAGGGGCTATGAGTGTTTTGTTCAAAAAAATCAGTTGCCCAATATGAAAAGTTTAGCATTTGTCAATCATATTATCACTGATTTCACAGAACCTGGATTTTGTATGGGTACAAATTTAGCTCCTTCCTAATAACACAATTTGCAAGGTCAGAAAAACTTTTTTCGAAAATGTAGGCATTCTTTTATGTATTTTGACCTCCTGAATTTGAAAATGTATTCAAAGCATCGTATCACCCACAGTTTTTGCACAAATCGCATATTTTTCAATAATGATAATATACATGAAAACACCATATGAAGCTCAGAAGCAGTGCACTACTTTCAACTGTTCAACACTTGTGCTCCTAACGGCACACAGCGAACTGTCACACTGTAACTGGCGCTGCCTGTCCATCACTGTGTTGTGTTTGTGCAAGGAAGTATCTGTTAGTGTACAATGTCTACCTGAAGCTGTGTAAACTCTCCTAACTATTTTTGTTATATTTGTGGTGAACTTGTGGTGAAAAAAGACCGAAGAAACATTACTGCCTTAGTGAAAAAGGTCTACCATACCTATTTTGGAATGAAACTAGGCGACATCAATAAAGCATGGGCTCCACAGGTCATGTCTGTTGTGTGTATAGAAGATTTACAACGGTGGGCGACAGGAAAGAAGTCATTACGATTTGGCATCCCTATGGTCTGGCGGGAGCAACAGAATCATACCGACGATGGCTACTTTTGCTTTTGTAAGGTTACAGGTTTCAACAAGAAAAACAAGAAGAGTATTGAGTATCCGAACAACATTCGCTCAGCAATTCATCCTGTTCCACATGGCCCTGATATAACTATACCACAGCCTCTGCAGACATTAAATACAGACGACAGTGATGACACAAATACCGTGCAGGAGACGGAAGATACTGAGTTTGAAGTAGGCATAGATGAGGGCCCTCTTCTTTTCACTCAGCCAGATCTAAATGATTTAGTCTGTGATCTGGGACTGACAAATGATAAAGCAAAGCTCCTAGGGTCAAGACTGCATGAAAGACATTTGTTAGCAGCTATTACGTCTGTTACATCTTACAGAAAAGAGGACTTGATATTCACACAATATTTTGCTCAAAAGGACTTGTTAATGTACTGCAGTGATGTACAAGGTTTGATGGGTCATTTCAAAATTCCGTATGTGCCAGCTGACTGGAGACTGTTTATTGACTCATCTAAAAGAAGACTGAAGGCATTTCTGCTGCATAATGATAACATATATGCCTCAATACCTGTCGGCCATTCTGTGCATCTGAAGGAAACATATGACAACATTAATGTGCTTCTTACTATCATTTATTATGAGGATCACAATTGGATGGTGTGTGGTGATTTGAAAGTGTTGGGTATGCTTCTAGGACAACAATCAGGATATACCAAGTTCCACTGTTTCATCTGTGAATGGAACAGTCAGGCTCATGACAAACATTGGGAGCAAAAACAGTGGCCCCGAAGGTTGGAATTTGTTCCTGGGGACAAAAATATTAAGTGTGACCCTCTAGTGGAAAGAGGCGGAATACTCTTACCACCTGTGCACATCAAACTGGACATAATGATCCAGTTTGTCAAGGCATTAGATAAGTGTGGCACCTGTTTCAAATATCTATGTTACAAGTTCCCCAACATGTCAGATGCTAAGTTGAAAGAGGGCATGTTCACTGGTCCCGATATTTGGAAAGTAATGCTACATGAAGATTTCTTTCATTCAATGAATGCTGTGGAGCGAGAAGCCTGGACTGCCTTTAAGTGTGTGATTCAAAACTTCCAGGGAAATAATTGTAGTCCAGAGTATATTGACATAGTTGAGAACATGCTGACGAAATTCAAAATTCTAGGATGCTCAATGAATTCGAAGTTAGATTTTTTAAATTCGCACCTTGACTTTTTCCTCCAAATCTGGGTGCTGTAAGTGAGGAACAGGGTGAAAGATTCCATCAGGATATCAAGGACATGGAATGATGATACCAGGGAACTTGGGATGTTCGGATGATGGGCGACTACTGCTAGATGCTTCACTGTGAGCACATAACGGAATTTCTCCATAAGAGAAAAAGCAGGGGCCACACCATGACAACTAAGAAAGCACGGAATGAATGATCTTAGCCACATTCCCTGCTTTTCCTCTTATGGGGAGTTTCCGTTATGTGCTCACAGTGAAGCATCCAGCAGTAGTTGCCCATCATCCGAACATCCCAAGTTCCCTGGTATCGTCGTTCCATGTCCTTGGGATTCTCTGGATGCATCTGTTCACAGTGTGTATATTTCAATATGTTGTTGTTTTAAACTTGTATTCTATTTCTGCATGATTCATGTACCATATATATGTACTACTTCTATATGTGATATCATTATTGGCGAAGTATATGATTAGTGCCAAAACTGTGGGTAATGTGATGTTTTGAGTATCATTTTCGAATTCAGGAGGTCGAAATACATAAAGAATGCCTACATATTCTAAAAAAGTTTTTTCACTGTTGCATTGTGTAATCCTTTGTATGCTAGACCTCGAAATAACTGTTTCAGTTGGTAGGTGGCAAATCTACTTTTGTGGACTTTACTGAAGTTTCTGCAAAAAAATCATGCATTCTTTGATGTGAGAACGTCCTTAGTCTTAACACATTTCTTATTCATTATGGAACTTAGTTTCCAAAACTTCTTAAAAAGGACAATTATTGTCCCATTTGTAGGTGCATTGCATATTTCTTACAAAACTTTCTATATTCCAATAAAACTTTTCATTTCAATTTACAGTACTATGTAAGTACATTTTTATACTTCTCAACATTAAGACTTCTGGTAGTGTTTGTTGGTCATCCAGTGTTGCAAAATCTAAGGAAAACTATGTTAATCTTTTAGTGTGTGTAATTTTTATTTTTTATGTCATTTCATTTTTGAACAATGCAAAATTGAAATGAAAGATGCATGTGTGTGATCATTAATGATATACTGTGAAGGATTTTTCTGAAAGCTACAAAGAATGGTGTTGGTCTTTTAAAAAGTGTATTAGGTTTGTTAATTTTATTGCACTGTTAGTTTAGAATTGGATAACTTGGATATATTCCAAGAAATTGGAAGCTATATCAATTATTGAATAATTAATTGTATGTTTCTTGCAGGTGTTACAAATTCGATAGGTTGGTTATTCTGGTGTTATAAGAATAGATACAAAAGATATGTTTGGAAATGTGCCATTTCAGTTGTAATGGTTAATATATTGTTGTTGTTGGAGCTTGGAGATTTTCCTCCTTGGAATTTTCTGCTTGATGCTCATGCCCTATGGCATCTCGGAACAATACCTCTGCCTTTTTTTTGGTATTGGTAAGTTTAATTTCTTTTCTTAATACAACAAAATTGACTTATTTTAATTACTTTAGGATTTGCATATATCAATGATAACTGATCAGTAACATAAAATGAGTTAAGTAAATAAGACTATAGTTAGTAAAACTTCTGGTTTTATCAGTTAAAACATTAAAACAATTTAAAATATATACATAGTTACACATTTTTAAAAATAATTTATCCAGCTTATAATTGAAGTAAGAAATGCCAGAAATTTAATGTACTGAGAATAACAATTAAGAACTGCACTCATAAAACATGATTGAGTGCACAGTTACTGAACTTCATCAGTTACAGTCTGAAGACAGTTACACTGAAGACATTATTTCTTTATGCATAAGAAATTTGACATTCATTGTTATCTTAAGTTTAGTTTCCTCTATGATAATTTTAACATTGAATTTAGATCATGATGTGGTCCTGAGCAGTTGGGGAGTGGAATAGATGGTGGTTTTCTACATGGAGAAAATTTCAGCTGACTTATCTGGCTTTTGACCAACAAAAGCTTATTACTCCATGTCAGAATTAATATGATCATAACTTTGTCAGAGTTTATAATTTAAATAATTCAAACAAAATTATTTTTGACTGTATGCTGTACAGTACATTGTTGTACTGTAGATGACAATCTATTATAAGGGAGCATGGCACAATGATATAAATTGTTTTAAACTGCATAAAATGCAACTTGCATTTTCTGTTTTTTAACCTTTTCTTTTTCTTTTGTAGTTGGACAGTTTGTAAACACTTGCAATTGAATTATGTGAGTGGCCAGTGAGTACAAGGGTCTTTGCTAACTCACAGTTGAATTGAAAGTTATTTAATATTTTAAATTTTATATGAACGTTAGCTTAATGTAAAAATCCACTTGACATTAATTAGAGCTTAAAAAATGAAGCAAAGTGTAATGTCATTTTTAGTTTAGATTTCATTAATTATTGAATTTTATTGAATTCAAAAAATTATAATTATTAGTTAATGTTGTATAAAATACTGGTCTAATGGAATTGTACATTTCAGTGTGACCATTTGGCACCAGAATGTTTCCACACATGAAAAACTTTCTCTGTTAATTCATTGTTATTGTTTGACATTGTTTGACTTAATTAACATTAATTAAGTCAAACAATGTCAAACAATAACAAGTGTTGTAACTGATGTATAACAACAAATTGTCATGAACAAAGTAGATCAACTGAGAATTTTGTGACCTTAAAAACACTGTTAGTTATGAAAAATAAATTTGAGAGAACCCCTAACAAGCTAACATCCATAAAATTTGTTTTTAAAATAATTTAATTTGTTTAAACACCTCATAATTATCCTTCACATCCTCAGTTTGAGGGTAGGTGTTGATGAACTAGTCTAAAAATTAAAGTGCAAAAGATTATAAATTATTGTAGTTTAAATGGTACTCTGTATTATCATTTTATTTTCATTTTAATAATTTTTATTGTGTATCAAAGTACAGTAGATCATCAGTTATCCAAATGTCAATCAACCGAAATGTCAATTAACCAAAGCTTTCCAGTCAGCAAATTTAAATTTTCACTAGTACTGTAGCGCTGCAATCTTTGGCTATGTCTTGGGCTACTCTAATATTATTTTTGTTGGTGTGCATGTTTTAGCTGGCAGCACTGGTGCAGCCATGAGAGGGTAAAGGATGTGCCAGGATTTGAATGAATTTCAACATGGGATAGGTTAATACAGTGGTACCTCAGGATACGAACGCCCCAGCATACAAAATTTTCAGGATACGACATGAAATTCGAACATATTTTTGCTCCACGATACAAACAAAAACTCATCATACGACGTTACATTAGTTCGCAGCGCCATTTTTTATTCACTTCTGTTCATTGGTCTCAGTTTGCGTGTTTGCTTCGTCGTGGAATGATCTCGCTCGATAAAGGAAATCTTGAGGTATTATCAGAAAGCTACTGATTTTATTGAAAAGAAACATCCCAAAAAAGTTCACACTAGTTGTATTGCTGCTCAGAGTAATGACATTTGCCTAAGTCGTTTTAGAAACATTTTNTTAATATATAATTATATGTACAGTACCTAATTTATATATAATACCAAACAGATGATAGCAAACTCAATTTAGCCGCTCCGTAGCGTGGCGCAGGGTCGGAGGTAAGTAGTTCGGCTGCTCATCCACTATTGGTCCAGACTCTATCAATCTTCTCGCGAAACGATGTTATAGGAGGTACGTTATACGAAAGTTTCTACAATTTTTTCGCTACGTTATAGGAATGTACGTTATAGGGGGGTCGACTATATTCGGTAATGTTGTACACAGTGAGTTCTACTTCTTATTTGTTTACAGAATTGCTGTGTCAAAATTTTTGATTCCTGAGGATGGCCTGTTGATTAGATTTGAAAATATTAGAATTTTGAATAAAGAATCACTGTTTTCCTGTTAAGTACAATAGTGCATTTTAAATTTTGTTAAAATATTCATAACATGTGGTTAAATATTGAAAATTGCAGATATTCACATACTTTTTCCATACATTCTTTGCAAAAAATATTCCTTCCATCAGTCATGAAACATTTGCTGTGCAGCTCTTCAAATAAATTTTTTATCCACTTCTTTAAAAAATTCTTTCAATGAATCCTTTTTCCCTTTCCATAGTCTCAATACTTGGAACTAGTAATCAAGTGGGATTACTAGTTTTTTGTGTTTAACAATTATTTGCATAGCTTCTATGTAAATTTTGAGTACATGAGATTGTGATAATAATTAGGGTTGCCTTTTAAATTTTTCCAGTTAATGTGATATTGAACCTATTGGCAGATATGATTGTTATTTCTATATTCCAGTATAATTTATATTTTCCATTTTCAATGACATCAGAAATGCCATGCTGAAATAGTAGGAGAATATTTGTAGTTTTTTTCATTGAGAAGATTAGTCTGTAGAGTAATACTTTGATTTATTATTATTATTTCATAAATAAAATAAAAGAAACAATACAGTAAAAAAATATCTGTTAAGTAGTCATTTGCATCTTTGGCATTTGAAGTTTAGGCAATTTCCTCTGGTTTTTCAAAAATATAAAAACATTGTGAAGTTACAGATTGATTCTTCTTAAATTGTGCATATCATAATTACCATTTTTACAAAGGATACTTTGGAGAGAGAATGAATACAGTGGAGCACATTACACAAAGATTTTACTTTTGTTCTAGCAATTTTTTGTGGGTTATATGCTACTATGATTATAGTCTTGTGTGGTTTGTTAACATAAGACACAGAATTGAAGACGGTAAAATTTAAGGAAGAAAGCTATAGTAATCTGAATAATAACATTTCAAAATAATTCTTGATTATTTTCTTTTTTGTAATAAACAAAGGGTGGTGTTTTTCATTAAATAAATTTAAAATTATAATTATCTATTTTTTCTTTTTGATTCTTAAACACTATGTAGTGTAATAAATTCAAACACTTGGCATTCTATCATCTTTATTTAATTCAGTTAAGAATCAATGAAGAGTCATACCATGTTTCCCCAAAAATAAGACAGTGTCTTATATTAATTTTTGCTCTGAAAGATGCGCTAGGTCTTATTTTCAGGGAATGTCTTATTTTTTCCATGAAGAAGAATTCACATTTATTATTGAACAAAAATATTCCCAAGTTGAACTTAGACGAGAGTGACGTATATCCGGTGTGTCAAACTGTCGCCTTTTTATAGCGTCAACATCGGACTCGATGACCAATTAGTATTTATTGAACCGTAGCACTATGCAAATGTCATGTGGCATGATTCCCAGCTGACCAATTAGCCATCACCAGCCGTTACGTTATGCAAATCTGTGATTCCCAAGCCATAGTTTTATGCAAATCATGCCATGTGGCGTGATCGTCTGCTGACCAATCAGTGGCTGTACTTTCAAAAAGCCAATGGCCACTTTCAACCATCTGTCAATGACTGTTATGAGTAAAAAAAATCTTTGCTAGGTCTTACTTTCGGGGGGAGGCCTTATATTTAGCAATTCAGCAAAACCTACGGTAGGTCTTATTTTCGGGGAAACACGGTAACACGGTTTCAGATTATCAAAAATAATTATCTATATTAAACCAATGCAGACTGTTAACTGGAAAATAATGAAGTATTTTTTTAATTAATGTATGTGTTAGGCTCAAAGATCGAAATTGCTCATTGAGCGAAAAAAATGACCACAGTGCGTTGTGGCTAACTCAAAACGACCACAAAGCTAAATTCACATTGTGACTTTTGTAATATTTGACCGCTATGCGTTGTGGCGATTAAGAAAAGCCGTAATGCATTCTGAACGTTAGCTGATGCAATCATGATACAAAGGATAGGTTGTAACTTGTCAATGGATACATTGAAAACACTTGCAGAGTTTGTATTGTGTTCATTCTTGACCAGTGCTGCCGTTTCTAGGGTAATTACCCTTTTCTAGAGTAATTCCAACATCTCAGAGTAATGTTTTGGGTAGTCTTATATTTAGGGTAAATCTAGGGTAAAACTACCCTGTGTTCTGATGCTATTACTCATCGCTCCACAAGTTTTGCTGGAAAAAGTTTTAGCCTAAAACCATTCTGTTTTTCCCTGTAATTGGAGGATTTTAGTATAGGAAAACAGAAGCTAAAGAAATAGTGCAAATTGATGCTAGGTACTGTACATGGGTGTACACTGTACAGTGATACTTCGGTTTTCGTCGAGAATCCATCTGAAAACAATTGGGCGAAATCCAAAACTGACGATAACCGAAGTCAACGAAAACTGAGGTATCACTGTATATTACACCCAAGTAGGATTTCGCTTTTCTCAACCTTCATGCCATTGAGCCATTGGCACTCTCCATATCAGATGTAAATTAATACCTCCGATAAAGCCTAAAAATCCTAAGACATTTTAGTTATTAAAATTTTCAAAAACAATGAATTAAGAATTGTTCTGATTATTATTTCACAATAATAGTATAGGGATCTGCA